AAAATTATATTTCAAATAAATGCTGTCGTTTCTATTCATAAAAAAATCATAAAAAAGAAACTGTTTTTAACTGTCATTATATTATAGTACAGTATATTAAAATGATTTCTGAAGGATCATGTGACACTGACTAGACTAGAATAATGGCTGATGAAAATTCAGCTTTGTCATCAGTGTAAATTACATTATAATGATGTCTATATATTGTATATATAAGAAACATTATCATACGTTGTGATATTTACCTTGATTTTTCTTCTTTGTCGTCACGTGATATTTCAGCTCAAGTATGCTCTTCACTGAGCCTGCTGACTTCTTGGTAAAAGAAGCTTAAGCTACCAAGACGAAGCTTACAACTTGAGAAAGAAAAAAAAATCTGTTAGCCATTTTGTATGTTTAAGAAAACAAGGAATATGGGGCTGCTAAACAGGACGCCACTGGACAAATTTTGCTTGTAAATATGTTGTGTTTTAAGGATGTCTAGATATTTTTACTGGAATATAAGACTGATTAAGTCTTAAAAATACTGATTAAGAAAACTATTTATTGCAGTAATGGTATCTAAAGGGATGTACTGATATTTAAATTCTTATCACTATGATAACTAATATTTTCATGATATGGTCAATAATTGATAAATAGCTAACATGAAAATTCAATACTATTTAAATCTAAACAAATGAAAAATAACACTTTATATTTTTATTATTCTAAATTAATTACAAATAAAATATTATAAACGAATACATGGCTACTTACTAATAACTGATAAATGGCTAACATTAAAATTCTATACTATTTAAATCTAAATGAATGATGTTTTGTTTTTATAATTACAAAGTAAAAATAAAATATAAAAAACTAAAATCAATTGTTTTAAATGCCACAAGTGAATTTAGGTATAACAATATTATAATGTACAGTATGAAAACTATTATTCATTTTGAGATTTGCTAAAGATTAAATTAGTGTTATTCAATTTTACATGTTTTTAAAGATCAAGTTTAATTAGGCATGAAATGACAACAAAGGCAATCTAAATGTAAAAATATGGGAAATGAGCATACGCAATTAAATATCCACTATTAACATGGCTGTTAACTTAAATAAATCTTTAATATCGAGTGATTAGCAATATGGTACATTATGCATCCCTAGCAGTGGTTTATAACTGAATAAATTTTTTTATTAAACGTATTAACTTTTTCATTGCACAGTTGTGTATAAATGGCAAAACTTTTACCTGTGCAGTGCATCTGTGAGTGCAACATACAGCAGGTCTTTGGTATTGGAGAGCATTATCTGCCTTCTGAAAGGCCCATCATGCCTCTGGGTTTGGTCACAGCAACGCCCTGATAGAGGTTGCTGATGTGGTTTTCTGTCACTCACAGGAAACGGCCGATCTGAGTTAAGGCCTCCTGATGAGCACTGTGGTACACTTCCCTCAGCTGCCTCACATTACGACCCACTGGTGACTCACAACCGTAGTATTTCTGATAGCATTCAAAACATAATGAGAGCATAAAATATTAACAGTGCATTTCTAAACATTTTGCTGAGGAAGATATTACGATTGGGCTCTGAAAGATTTGATCTTCTCAAGAATTGAGGCATGAGACATTACCATTGTGCCCTCGAGCAAGACACTGAACCTCAGGCTGCTCCAGAGGGACCGTCTCTGTAATAAATTCAGGGTGCTGTTCTATGGTAACATTACACGGAAATACTCTGGATGTGTAGCAATAAATCTATTCCATTCTTTTGTGAATATTGTTTGATGGTCAGTCTGAGTTGTGACCTAGACAGGTCAAAAGTCAAACCCATGACAGGTGCAGAACAACATCAAACAGTGTGAGTCCATGAACCCTCTGTGAAACTGACCTCAGCGCAGTGGAACACCTTCAGCATGTCTGAATGAAAGGTGTCCAGACTCTCATAGTGGCCTGAGAGGAGCTGCCTATGCAATGTATTAAAATCGACAGGAGCTGAGTCTGATCTGGAAGAGAAAACACAAACAAATGAATTGTCTTTCCCCCAACAAATCCAAAAAAACCCCCATGAAATATAAAAAACCCATGAATTTTGTGATTTTAATTCATGTCTAGTAACTTTGAGGCCATTTCATTTCTAAACATTTTGCTGAGGAAGATATTACGATTGGGCTCTGAAAGATTTGATCTTCTCAAGAATTGAGGCATGAGACATTACCATTGTGCCCTCGAGCAAGACACTGAACCTCAGGCTGCTCCAGAGGGACCGTCTCTGTAATAAATTCAGGGTGCTGTTCTATGGTAACATTACACGGAAATACTCTGGATGTGTAGCAATAAATCTATTCCATTCTTTTGTGAATATTGTTTGATGGTCAGTCTGAGTTGTGACCTAGACAGGTCAAAAGTCAAACCCATGACAGGTGCAGAACAACATCAAACAGTGTGAGTCCATGAACCCTCTGTGAAACTGACCTCAGCGCAGTGGAACACCTTCAGCATGTCTGAATGAAAGGTGTCCAGACTCTCATAGTGGCCTGAGAGGAGCTGCCTATGCAATGTATTAAAATCGACAGGAGCTGAGTCTGATCTGGAAGAGAAAACACAAACAAATGAATTGTCTCTCCCCCAACAAATCCAAAAAAACCCCCATGAAATATAAAAAACCCATGAATTTTGTGATTTTAATTCATGTCTAGTAACTTTGAGGCCATTGATATTCAAGAGTACTGACTAAAATGTTGGTGTCTCATCTTGTACTGTGCAAATTTTTGCCCAGTAAAATGCTCTGTGAACATCCCCTACCTCCACATTATACATACTCTACCATTCAAAAATGTAGGGTCAGAAAGATTTTTTTTATACTTTTATGCAGCAAGGAAGCATTAAATTGATTAAAAGTGACAGTAAAGACGTTCATTATGTTACAATAGATTTTAATTTCAAATAAATGTATCTTTTGATCTTTCTATTATTCAAGGAATTTTGAAAAAAAAAATGTATGATGGTTTCTACAAAAATATTAGACAGGCCAACTGTCTTCAAAATTTGATAATAATAAAAAATGTTTCTTGAACACCAAATCGTGATATTAGAATAATTTCTGAAGGATCATGTGACACTGAAGACGAGTGTTGGGGAAAGTTACTTTTGAAAGTAATGCATTATAATATTGTGTTACTCTTTTTGGAAAGTAATGCATTATGTTACTTTCATTACTTTTTGTCACCTGGGCTGGGTTTGCTTATTTGTTTCTTAATAACAAAAATACCCAAAGTTATATTTTTGGCAACTGTAAATGCCCTTTCACACCAATTAATAGGAAGTGTCTTGGCCTCTGCACCTCACTACCAGTTTCTCTCAACACAATCACAGGAGATGTGTCAGTGAACAAATGGGAAAACAAAGTAACTTGCGTTACTTATTTGAAAAAGTAACTTAGATATTTAATAACTTTACTAGTTACTTGATAAAAGTAATCTGATTACGTAACTCATGTTACTTGTAATACGATACCCCCAACACTGGCTTATTTGTTTCTTAATAACAAAAATACCCAAAGTTATATTTTTGGCAACTGTAAATGCCCTTTCACACCAATTAATAGGAAGTGTCTTGGCCTCTGCACCTCACTACCAGTTTCTCTCAACACAATCACAGGAGATGTGTCAGTGAATAAATGGGAAAACAAAGTAACTTCCGTTACTTATTTGAAAAAGTAACTTAGATATTTAATTGCATTACTTTACTAGTTACTTGATAAAAGTAATCTGATTACGTAACTCATGTTACTTGTAATACGATACCCCCAACACTGCTGAAGGCTGGAGTAATGGCTGCTGAAAATTCAGCTTTGCCATCATAAGAATAAATTAAGTTTTAAGGTTTATTATCCTTGTAGGGACTCTCCATAGGTGTAATGGTTTTTATACTGTACAAACTGTATTTTCTATCGCCCTACACCAACCCTACACCTCACCCTCACAGGAAACTTTCTGCATTTTTACATTCTCAAAAAGACTCATTCTGTATGATTTATAAGCTTGTTTCTCCATGGGGACCTCAATTTAGGTCCCCACGGTGACACGAGTCCCCATGAGTCGGTGTGTATTCAGGTTCAAGTCCCCACCAGTGTAGAAAAATCTGTACACACACATATACATAAATTAATCAAATAAAAAATAAATTATATATATATATAGCCAATCACAGACATATCTGCTGATTTCTTGAACACAATGGCCAATCAGAAAAGCGTTTTAGTTTGTTAGAACTGACGCACTGCTGAAAGAACTGGAATTTTTATTAAGTGCAGTTTTGCACGCTCGAGAATCATCTCATAACTAAGTGCAGACGCGATGTAAATATGAAATTCATTGTGCAGTTCAGAGAGCTTCATTGATTATAATGGAACTTTGGGAGATCGCGATGAACCAGTGTAGAAAAATCTGTACACACACATATACATAAATTAATCAAATAAAAAATAAATTATATATATATAGCCAATCACAGACATATCTGCTGATTTCTTGAACACAATGGCCAATCAGAAAAGCATTTTAGTTTGTTAGAACTGACGCACTGCTGAAAGAACTGGAATTTTTATTAAGTGCAGTTTTGCACGCTCGAGAATCATCTCATAACTAAGTGCAGACGCGATGTAAATATGAAATTCATTGTGCAGTTCAGAGAGCTTCATTGATTATAATGGAACTTTGGGAGATCGCGATGAATTAAGATGAGTAATGCTTTTTAGTGATAACAAGGCGAGCGCGCTTTGAGCACTTTCTAGGCTATAATCCATTCAGAATTTGTATGAAACTTTTGTTTACCGATACATACACGCTGCAAAGTTTTATGACATCCGCATATTTATGCTGGATTCACTCTCGAAATAGCAGTGATCGAGACAGTGATAACCAAAGCAAGGGATGGGACAAAAAA